TTCCCAAATACGAAGATCTTATCTTTTTTCGTGAGTTCTATTAATAGTATAGCGGTCTTCCCAAATGCTTTAAGAAACTTGCGGTAGTAATTAGCGAATCCGAGGAAGGCTTATACTTCCTTGACGTTAGTTAGCTCCTTCTAGTCTCTGACTACTAAGACTTTCTTAGGGTCTATATATATTTCATTATAAGAGATAATATATCCGAGGAATTCTACTTCCGAGGCATAGAATTTACTTTTTTCAGGTTCCACTAATAAGTTAGCGTTCTATAGTATCTATAGTACCTTATAGACGTATTCTATATATTCTTCTTCCGTTTTAGAGAAGATAAGGATATCGTCTAGGTAATATACAACGAATATATCTAGGTATTCTCATAGCACGTTATTAATTATTCGTTAGAATATAGTAGGTATATTAGTGAGTCTAAAAGGCATAACGAGGTATTTAAATAATCTATACTTAGTACGAAAAGCGGTTTTCTACTTATATCCTTCTTTAATCCGAATAAGGTTATAGGCTCCTTTGAGGTCGAGTGCGGTGAAATACTTTATACCAAAGAGTTAATCCTTTAACTCGCTGATAAGGGGCAATAGTATGCGATCCTTAACTATAATAGCATTGAGCATTTGGAAATCGATATAAAGTCGGAGCTTTCTATTCTTCTTCGGAATGAATATAACGGGGTATCTAATAGATAACTTGCTTTCCCTGATATATCCTTTCCGTATTATATCTTCGATATATTCCTTTAATACTAGAAGTTATGCTTCGTTAAGTAGGTAGAGTTTACTAAAGCCGGGTTACTTCCCGTCGATAAACTTAATTTCTAGGTCATACGAGGTATATTCTAGTAGACCTATCTCGAGTTCTTCCGCGAAGAGTCTTTTATAGATTTTATACTTCCATAGTATATTCTTAAGTCGTTTCTCTTCCGGGCTATCCTTTTTTAGTTTCTCGAGGTCTTTTTCGAGTGCGTGGAACTATTATATAATTCGTGCGATTATTCTTTATTATTATCGTTTCTATCTATTATAGTATTTGTGTTTTGTCCCTATGGGTGGAGAGGTATCTCGTATTTGCCTCTTCCTAACTTCTCCGTTATTAATAGAAGTTTAAGATCTCCGATCTAAGTCGTTATTTAATATAGAGGATATCTCAGCATCGCAAGAGAGTATCTAGCTAGTTCTCCAGTCGAAATATAAGTTAAAGCGTTATAACTATAGGTACCCGAGCATAAGATCGTGGCTCTAGTTTGGTATAATATCGAATAAGATTCCTTAGTTCTTTCCTTTAACGAAGACCTTAAGGTAATCAATCTCGTAGTTAATAGCTCTATTATCGTAATCAAAAGGTGTTCCTTCGAGGTTATGCACCGTATAGGGCTTACATTTATGCCTCCATAGTAGCTTAAGCTTATTCGCCGTCGCTAGGTCGAAGTAGTTCTACTCAGCTCCGCTATCCACTAAAGCGTTCAACCATTATCCCTTGACTCATACTTTCAATTCTAGGCATCGTCGCCTATATCCTCCGTCTATAGAGTAGAGGGCCTTTCAGGGTAGTTCGTCCCCTTATTCATCCATCCGTTGCCCTATATCAGACGGGATATCTAGTTTTTTGACTTATTGAGGGCGTAGCTAAGGTGGTCATATTCATACTCGCTATTAGCGCATGCCTCATAGTCGTGGTTATCTTATTCGTGCAGCCATTCCTAGTAGGCTTATTCTGCGACCTAGCCGTCGTCGGGGTAGTCGCTATGATTCCTTTCCCTCATAGGGTAGACCTTATCGAGGTCGCCGCATCTAATATAGTCGGCGTAGTCTTATAGGATCCGGTCTATCGGTCCTTAGTCTTCTCCGAGGTGTGGTTAGATATCTTAATACCATTCCTCGTCTTCTTATTTTCCTATGCGTATGAGGAAATTAAATCCCTCCTTCGCTATTCATTCGAATCTATCGTGTGTGGCCAGGACGTATTTCCCGTATCTTAGGCACGTATCTTCGCTACAGAGTATTACCTCTATGCTAGGGCAGCTTCCTTCGGGGGCCTATCTTTCTTCCGTCATAGTCTTCCATATGGCAATAGTGAACCATCACTCGAGGGTAATAGATCTATCTGTCCTTAGGGTGAAGCAGATGTTAGCCACGCCAATTCCTTCGTTCCATCTGTGAATCCTATATTAGTGGGTTTCATAAGCAAGGTAGGGCTTATCGTTAGGTCCCTATAGCTATATGGGAAAACAGTCGTTTTCTCGCTTGCTTTAGATATATGTGCTGCAATAGTAATCCTTACAGGAGATCCATAAGATTTCCTCGTATCGGGGGTATATAGATCGGGTACGCTTATCGTCCCTTATGTCATAGCGTAGTCCTTATTATGAGTTCATAGCTATCTCCTCGTGGTGTGCTCGGATAGGGATATCTTCCATATCCGAGTCGCTTTCTTCCTCCTATTTTATTAATCCGGAGGTTCCTAGTTCCCTTTAAGTAGTTCTAAGGATTTATTCTTACTATTTCTTAATTTTATAGTTATTCTATTCGTGCTTACATATTATCTCATATAGGTCTTTATTATATCGTGCTCCTGCAATACCGATGGAGTCATACCAGTGGAAAACTTAGTATCCCTCTATTTCGTACCATAGGTATGGTTTATCGTTGGGCTAGTATGGTAGGGGAATTAGAAAATAGTCTTATTCCTATTTTTCCTTCTTATATTCCTCACACCAGTGGTATTAGCATGATATTCATAAAATACTAGGGTATTCCTTATATATTAGGTAGGTTCGCACGTCGTCTTATGCGTTAAACGGTACTTCCGGGTATCGTGGGTCTTCGATCGTCATTTAGTGATATACGCGGATGCATATATCTTACATATCGGTAGTATTCACGTATTCCCTTGCGGTCTAGATATACCGTTCTCGCAGCGAATTCCAGTATCGGTTACCGCGTTCGTCGTAAAGTTAAGGGTAGTATTCCTCCTTCCACAGGACATCATCCGTCCTAGGCTTCTATTAGTTCCGAATCTAGGCTATTGCCAGTTATCACTAGGCTTCAGCTCCGGCGCCGTAGTTAGGGTCCTAGTAGTATCGCTTGATTCGCCTTATCACTGCGATAGTCTTAGTATTAGGGTCTTTATCAGGTTTATTAGTTAATTCGGGTAATGGTTCCTATTCCGACCCATCCGTGAGATAGAACCGTCCCGCCTTTAGGGGTTTCATCGTAGTATACCGTGGCTTCGGCTAAGGGCAATTATTATGTCTAAACTATTCCTCAGTAAGGTATGCTTAGTCGTAGGGCATAGCAACTTCTCCTAGTTCCAGACCGGTATTATTATACCCAGTCCGGGCCATGCCGAGCATTTTAGTCATTCAGAGAGCTATCTATGGTTCGTTATCAGCTTATGCGAATCTTACCTACTTCTTGCCTTCGGGGAGTCGCTATTACTATAGCTAATAGCGGCCTTCCTTAATATCGCGCTACTTCTTATAGCAGATCTTCTCGATATAGTTTATCTTATAGCAATATCGGCATTTAAGTCCATAGTAGTCGCGTTTCTTCTATTAGGTTACTCCGAGTTTCATAGGTCCTATGTAGGTTCCATAGGATATATCATTTTATCGGTATCGCCCTTAGTTAGCATCGAATCGAGGTTTCTAATAGTTTTCTTTACCGTTGCGGGGGTTCTAGAGTTTCTTCTAAGAGAACTATTAGTCATCGATCCTAACTACTCGGCCGATATAATCGACGAGGTTATTAGGCCGGTCTTCCTTATAGAGTTCGGCCTATACCTCCTTCTTAAGTCCATCAAAGAAAAAGGACATTAGTAGTTCCTAGTCCTAGTTAAGCTTCAAGGCGAGCTAGAGGTACTTAGTGCTATATTCTAACGCAGAGCGGGTTTATCGGAGTGCCTTAATTTCTCTTTCCGCTAGGGCCTTTTCGTCCACTATTCCAAAGGCTTATTAGAGCGCGGCTTCGAAGGCTTTAAAGCTAGAATAGAGGTTCGTGGTCCATAGCGAGTATTCATTAAGTAGTTTAATAAGATATTCCTTCATAATAGGTTCGAACTAGGCTACAGCGTATTTAGTGAGATGCCCTGCGGTATACTAAACCTTACTAGATACCATAGTAAACTATATAGGGTAATAGAGCATAAACGCGCGTAGTTACGTAAGGAACGTTAGCAACTTATACGCGGTACCATTAAACTTCTCCGGTTATTCTAGCTTTAGGATTTCTCTAATATCCTTGCCCTTCATAGCGGCAATCGCCATATTATTAACATTCTAGATATTCTCGTAGTACTACTAGTTTTAGGCTTACTAAGCAGCGACCATGCGATCGATAAGTCCTCTAAGTTCCTCCATTTCGGTGGTCATAGTAGTAACCTAGGCACGGAGTTGCTCGACTTCTTCGTCGTCGCTATCCATTTCTTCGTCGCCGTCAGGGTCAGCCTAAGCTAGTACGATAGGGGCAGGTGGGTAGTTGGCAGGTAGAACCTGCTAGTAGTTATTGCTAGGAGTAGCCTAAGTAGCTATTGCGTTCGATATTATTCAAGGTAACGTAAGTAATCCAATAAATAAGAGCTATCAATATATAACGAGAGGATATTTCCCAAGGGATAAACCGGTCATACTAGTTTATATTAGCACTAGATTATATTGCGTAGCCTTAAAGGTTAGTATAATATCACGTCTAGTAATATACTCAAAGGTATTAAGTATAACCAAGTTGTATTAATAGCTGAGGTAGCTACTATATAAGAAAGTGCAATGAGTATATTCTATATACTTGGGCTTCCTTAAGTAAAGCCGATCGCGAGAGGGCGCGATATCGTTCCAGGACCGACGCGGTCCAGGGACGATATCGGTCCTATTGTGATTAGTAGTTCAGAACTCGGGATTTATGGGGGACACGTGACGTAACCGCGAGGGTCGTAACACTATAAGGCAGCAGCTTGGGCCTATAATGACCCTTCTATCTTAGTTATAGAAGATGGGTCAGCTATAGCCTCGGCTAAGGGCGTAAGGCAAGGTGACCCTCTTGGACCTCTTCTTTTTTCCCTTGCCTTTCGACCTACCCTAGAGGCCCTAGCTAGGAAGCTACCTAGGGCAACCTTAGTAGCTTACCTAGATGACCTCTATATACTTAATAAGGCTCCGCAAGGCACCCTAGAGGCAGCTAAGGAGGTCTTAAAAGGCTCCCCTTTTAGCCTTAACCTAGCTAAAAGCAAGGAAAAGGCTATAGAGGACCTTAAGCTAGAAGGCTTAAAAGCCTTAGGTACTTATATAGGCCCTATCCGGCCTAGAAGAACCTTCTTATAAGAAAAGCTAGCTACCCTATAGGAAGCCCTAGAGGCCCTGCAAGACCTTCCTAAGCAGCACTCTTTGCTTCTTCTTAGAGGCAGTATCCAGCTACTTCTAAGGCACCTCCAGAGGCAACTAGACCCAGCCGGGCTAGAAGACCTTTGGGAAGAGGCTGATACCCTTATAAGAGAGGCTATTATAGCCCTAGTGGCTAGAAGCCCTAGTGAGTGCCCAAAGGAGCCTAATTCAAGCCTTATAGCCCTTCCAGTCAGAGAGGGAGGCCTAGGAATACCCTTACACAGAGACCTAGCCCACGAGCTATTCCTAGCAGCTAGGGAGGCCTCGCAGCCTACCCTAGGCCTCATCCGGAAGCCCCTAGCCCAGCCTACCCTAGACCAAAGCCAGCCTAACCAAGGCCAGCCTAGACTAGGGAAAACAGCCCAACAGGTGCTAAAAGAAGCTAATAAGGCTAGGCTAGCAGGCTTCTTAGAGGACCTCCCCCCTAGCTATAGGCATGCTAGGCTAGAAAATGCTAGCTATCTCGGCCGTAAGTGGCTAGGAGTCTTACCTACCCAAAAAGCCCTATCTTTTACAGACTCCGAGGTCACTAAAGCCCTCCGAAGCCGGCTTTTCTACCTAATCAAGCCTATTAGCCTACCCTGTAGCTCTTGTGGAGCTATAGTTTGTTGGAGGAACAGAACACACCAAACCACATAGCTAAAAGAGTCGAATTTCCACGTATTCTTTTTAAGGTCTTTTTAAAAGAAAGATCTCACGCACTTTCCCGTGAGGCAAATATAATATAAAATAATAAGAGTAATTAATTAATTTATAGCAATAAAGATATAACCCATAAAGAAGCCCAAAAGTCCTCTTATCGGGGCCCGCGAAAGTAATAATAAAGGTAAGGCTTTATGACCTCTGCCTCCTTTTTCTATATATAAGAAATTACTTAGTAGCCTAAAATAGCTTAGTATGCTTTTCCCCTAACTCATAGCTCCCCACGAGGCTTCAATGCCTATCCTTACGGCTCCTAAGAAGCCTCGTTAAAACCCTTATTAATTCCTCTTCTAAGGTTACTAATTCCTTTTAATATATTAGACTACTTCCTAAATAGGGCTAACTATCTAATTAGTTATCTCGGCTCTTTTGGCGCTTTCTTATTTTCTTATCTCTGCTCTCCCTTAATGCTATCGCGGGTATTTATAGCTATATAGCTATAGCTAAGATTTTATCCTACTAAGATAGTCTTACTAACCCGGCAGGGAGATACATTATATAATTCCCGGTTAATAGTCGCTGCGTGGCCTAGTTTCTTACCTCTCTAAGCTAGCCTTTCTCTCTAGGGTTACCTAATATAGCTTATATGCCGGGTCTAATAACCTTCCTCTTTAATATTAACTCCTTATTACTTTCATAGTTTAAATAATTAAAGTCCTTAGTACCTCGAATCTATAGACCTTCCTCTATGATATATAGGCGCCTATCTTAAGTCTTACCCTAGATGCTTATATCTATTATCTAATTAGATAGTTCGGCTAGAGCCTTTTTCTTATCCTTGCTTATGCTATCTTCGGAAGAGGCCAAGGGCTTAGAGGGCTAGAATTCTGACCTACTAAGGGACGAGGGCTGGCTGCATTTCGGGGTATTTAACGATAAGTTAGCTAAGGGCTTTAATAGAGTCTTAGGCTAACTCTTTTTCTAAGGCGCTAGAGTTATAAGCTTATCCTTACTATTCTTTAAAGCGGAGCTAATTAGCTTTATAATTAGTTTCTTTTTCTTTTTTAAATCGTCGGAGTCTAATATTACCTCTTTATCTATGTAGATCGGTATATTATCCTTAACCTCGATCCTATTATTAGTATACTATTTGATTATATCCTAAGGAAGGGTTAAGAGGGTAACTCTAGTTCGTAGGGATATAAAAGGCCTAGCTCCTGAAGGGACCTTAGCCTCTTTATTATCCTCGATCGTAGGGGGCATAATTAAGTAATAAGTCTGCTAGTTACTAACGTAGCTAATATCCTTAACGTCCGCAATTATATATCCTCCTAAGTCGGTATAAAGCTAGTGCTTTGGGACCTAGTTAGTAAGCTTAAGAGGGGTATAATTAATTAAATCCGCGTAGGAAAATTCTTATAGCTTAACCCGGGTATAAGAGACCCGCTTCTCGAAATGCCTATCCTTAATCCTAAGCTTATCTGCGATAATAGTTTAATAGATCCCTTTAAGGCTATTTAGATTATCGTTATAAGAGGTGTTTTTAGACTTCCCGTCTATGGTCTAGTTGTCGAGCACTTAGTCCCGTATTAATAGATTAAATATAACTAAGGGTATATCCTCTTTTCCGTCGATTTTTAAGGTCTTAGGGAAATAAATCATTTTAAGCTCGGTATATATTAGTCCTACTAAACCTCGAAGGGTTCAGAAGAGGGCAAATATATTAATAAGACCGTACTCCTAACCTCCTTGCTATGGCATTAAAGGGATCGCATAAAGGTTAAAGTCATAAGGTTATCTTGCCTTTATAAGATACTCCCGCTAAGTAAGGCCTATATTCTTTGCTCTAACTATTTAATTATTTATAAGGGAATTAAAATAATAGAGGTTCTCTTCCTATTAGTCTTAGATAAAAGATATAAAATGCTTAACGTACATGATAAGTGAGTGGATCAAACAAGTGAGTGGATCAAAAATCCCTCATCCTCCACCCTCTCTACTTGATCAATTGATTCTTCACCACCAAGCATGTCACAGACAAATTATGAGGCAAGAATCCTTCTGGCACTTCATGCCTATCAAAATAACCCCAATCTAGGTCTCAAACGCGCTGCAAAGACCTATAAAGTTGGTTATGGTACACTATGGCGCCGACACAATGGCATTCAGTCTCAGCGCGATACCACCCCCAAATCACGCAAATTATCCGATCTAGAGGAACAGATCATAGTTCAGTTCATCCTAGACCTGGACTCGCGAGGTTTCCCCCCACGACTGCGTGGTGTGGAAGAAATGGCCAACCGACTGCTCGCCGACCGGAACGCACCACCCGTCGGCAAGCGCTGGGCTTCCAACTTCGTCAAGCGACACGATGAGCTCAAGACGCGCTTTTTTCGTAGATACGACTACCAGAGGGCCAAATGCGAAGATCCAACTGAGATTCGAAAGTGGTTCAAGCTCGTGGAGAACACAATCGCCAAATACGGTATCGACCTGGCCGATATCTACAACTTCGATGAGGTTGGCTTTATGATGGGCGTCATTGCAAACGGAATGGTCGTCACAGGCACAGAAAGGCGTGCAAGACCGAAATTAGTGCAGCCTGGAAGCCGGGAATGGATTACTGTCATCCAGGCGATCAATGCGGAAGGCTGGGCGATCCCGCCGTTCATCATAGGTGCGGGCCAGTATCACCTCGCCAACTGGTACCGAGACAGCAATCTCCCGGACGATTGGGCCATTGCAACGTCTCCCAATGGCTGGACCGATAATGAGCTGGGTCTGGAGTGGCTGAAGCACTTTGACCGGTACACCAAGACGCGATCGGTTGGCCGCTATCGTCTTTTGATCCTCGACGGCCACGAAAGTCACCACTCTCTCGAGTTTGAGAAATATTGCCAGGCAAACAAGATTGTTACGCTCTTTATGCCGCCTCATTCGTCTCATCTGCTTCAGCCCCTCGACGTCGGGTACTTTAGCCTGCTCAAGAGGGCATATGGTCGAGAAATCGAGCATCTAATGCGATGCTCTATAACCCACGTTTCCAAGACCGAGTTCTTTCCAGCATTTTATGCAGCATTTCAGGCCACCATGACAGAGAAAAACATCAAGGCAGCTTTTAGAGGGGCTGGCATTATTCCTCTTGATCCGGAAAGTGTGATTTCGAAGCTTGATGTGCAGCTACGGACGCCGACGCCGGCTGAGGAGGAGGCCGGGCTCTCTACTACTTGGGTTTCAAAGACGCCAAAGACGGTCCTTGAGGCCGAATCTCAATCTGAATACCTCGATAGACGAATCAGAAGGCATCATAGTAGCTCGCCAGAGTCAATACTGGAAGCATTAAAGTCGCTTTCCAAGGGAACAAAGGCAACTATGCATGAGCTTGCCTTGTTGAGGGCCGAGGTCCGCGATCTTCAGCAGGCAAATGAGACACTAAGCCGGCGGCGGAGGGCAAAACGGAGGCGACTACAGAAAGGAGGAGTGATGACAGTGGGGGAAGCAAGGGAAGCAATTGATCAGATGAATGTGGATGGGCAGGTAGAGGGGGAATCGTCGAGAAGTGGTGGTCAAGGAGGGTCGGGGCGACCGAGGGAAAGGCGCTGTGGAGGATGCGGCAAGACGGGGCATAATGCAAGAACATGTCAGATAGTTGTTGCAATGTCTGAAGAAGAGTATAGCGACTAGTTTTAATTGATTAGATGATTTGTTGTGTTTTTATAGAATTTTCAATTGAGAAGGGTGAGGATTTTTGATCCACTCACTTGTTTGATCCACTCACTTATCGTGTACGTTATTATATACATAGAAGATAAAGCCTACATAAAATCTTTATCTATAGTAGGCTTCTCGCTACCTTTAAAGATCGCTAAATCCCTACTTAGTATTATACTTAATTACCCTTTCGTAATTACCTAGAAGGAAAGGTATAAGATAAGGGAATTTAGAGTTTAGCTTCGGGTATTTCCTATAGATTATAATCTCGTAGCGAGCGACTATAATAACCTTTTCTAGCTTATTCCTAAGTATTTATAGTATAGTATAGAAAGACTTATTAAGAAGTATCCTCCCGTCGTCCGCCTTTAGGTCTTAGTATAGGTTCTAAAGGTTCTTCGCGTACTCCGCCTAGGTTATACTATAGTCTAGGTTAAGGAAGTAATGCCGCTAGAGTTTATCTTTACCGAGCTTTTATTTAATTAAATTATTATTATTATTATCGCAAGGGTATTTAAAGGTCTTAGGGTCCTAATAGGCCTATTTATCTCGCGGCTAGAAAAAAGGTAGTTACTCGGAGTTATATATATCTTAGATTATACCTTATTTTACTTTATTCTCTTTAAGGAAATCTCCCCTTCCTCTAACTCTATTAATCCTAATAACTAAATAGGCTATTTTCCCTTTTTTTATAAACTAAGTATAGTTAGGTAGGGCATAAAAAATAGTTAGTAGTATCTTAAAAGGTTTAGGGGTAATCTCATAGGTATTTAGTTATATAGTATTTAATAATATAGTATATAAGTATAGATATTAATATATATTAATTAATTAAATAAGCGGGAATTAGCTAATTATTTATACCTATCGGCTTAAAATAGGTAAAGGCTAAGTTAAGAGTAACTATAAAGTTTATATTAAGTCGGGTTATTTATAGATAAAGAAGTATTATCTTTATCTCCGAGAGAGAAGGTCTATATCGTATGAATACTCGAGGAGGTGCCTTATTATATGATTAAATGGTCTATAAGGCGATTATAAATAAAGAGAGAATATTACTTTATATATAGAGTATAAAAGAGAAAATATTATTACTTCTCGCGGGAAGCTAATTAACTCTTTTTAGTATGCGCGAATAATAATTATAAATTATATTTTATCGCAAGGAGGCCGCCTAAATACCTTACTTTTCCTTCCTTATACTTTTCTGCCTTATATATATATAACTTCTAAGTACTCCCTATTTTCTCTTCCTCTTCTTTATATCTTTATTTCTTATTTTTATGCCTTCTAATTAATCGATTTATTATATCTACGTAGATTCCCCTCGAGATTCTCGCTAATAAGCGATAAAATATCTTCCCTAATATCTAGGAAATCTCCCGTCCTTAGCTTTCTTATACTAACTTCTAGAGAGGTATTTCCTCTTAGTAGAGTAACTATAGTAGCTTTAAGGTAACCCTTGCGGATACTAAGGTAATTAATCTCCTAAAGGTAGGTTCTTATATTCTTTTTGCCCTTAACTCTCTTTCTAATTAAATGATTAAATAGGTTTATAGGAGTCTTAAGGTTTAGATTTACTCCTATTTTGCCTTAGATCGAGATAGCTTCCCGTTATATATAGAGCTTACCTTTAATAATACCGGTCGAGAGAACCTAAAGACTATTGCGAAGCGTTTCTTTAAGTGCTATAGCACGCCCGATACTATTATTAAAGAGCTTATTTTATTAATTCTGAGTTATACCCTTTAGCTTATCTATATCCCCGTAGACTTTATTTATCTATATAGGTAATTCTTTAAGTAATTAATTAGTTATCTAGAGTATCGAAAAGCTCTTAGAATTACTCTTTTTAGCTACCGTAATCCTATTTTCTATCGCTATTACTATTAATCTTACTTAATTAATATTAGCTAAAATAAAGAGTATATTCTTTACCCCTTCTCGATTTATATCTTAATTAAGGGTTTTATAGGTAAGAAGTATACTAATTATATATAGTATTAGAAGCCTTATAAGTAGGAGTTCTTACCTAGTTATTAGCTAAAGTCTATAGAGGAGGGACCTCTTGATTGGCCTTTATAGGGAAAGGATATACCTAAAGAGAAAGTAGATAAGGTTAGAATTAATTAATTAAATCCGGTATCTTACCCTTATATTTCTTATGTATACCCCTCTCGAGATAGTTTATAGGTGCGAGACCTTTAATTTCTCGAGGAGATACGGGGGCTTGCTCTCGCTAAATAGGCTAATAAGGCTAGATTCTAGAAGAACTTATTATTTAAGTAATACTTTTTTTTTCGAAGAGAGGTAATCTTTTCGCGGGTAATATAGTAAGGCGTTTTTATTATTTTCTTTTAACCCTTAAAGCACCTAGGTATTTACCTATAATTACTTTTAATTAATTAATTTATTTTTCCCTAATTATTAATCCTTTTATTACTCCCTCTATCCTACTTTTATATCTTTTAATAAGCTCTATATCGATACTATTTTTTATAGTATAATAAATTTAAGTATAATATCTAAAATATTATAGATAGTATCGTAGCTATTTTTTATTATGTCTTATTTATCTTAGATAGCGTCTAAGGTATCTTAGGCTATGAGTAGCGTATCTAATTAAATAATCTATATATCCTCTATAAAATAAAAAACCTAAATTTATTGAAAATTTCGGTGGTTATATTATTATATAGAAAATTTCCTTTATCTCCTCTTCCTTATATTAGAAACCTAAGGATCCTTATAGGTTTCTAGTATTAGCTCCCTATATTCTCCTTAGTAGCTTTTATATTAAGTAGCTTACTTAGTAGTTAAGCTTAGGAGTTATACTTTTATATATACCGGAGTTTATTATCTCGGGTATAGTAATTTACTTTTTTCTCTAAGATTTTCCTCCTTATTATTCTCTTTTTTATTTTCCTTATTACTCTCTTAATTAATTATTTAATTAAGCGCTACTTTTATACTCCTTATAATCCTTATATTCTTTTACTCCTCCCTTTCTTTATATATTACTTTCTTTTTCTAAAACTCCTTAAATGCTTCCTCTTTATTCCTTTTTCCTTCCTATTAGCTATTCTCGTCTTTCTTAAACTTCTTTAGTTAATCCCTATAGATTAACTTTATAATCTCATAATTATTAAGTATCTTAAGCTTATAATAATTTGCGCCGTCATGGTACTTAAAAATACGAAAAGGGCTATATTATCTCCTCGCTATCTTCGCTATTATAGATATATTATTTAATCGTAGTATATCGAACTTTAAGACTAGGTCTCTTTCCCTTAGAGGGGTCTTTCTTAACCTATAGATATTTTTTTTATTTTGCCTTCTTATAGCCTTTGCCTTAAATATAGTAATCTTCTTGCGCGCCGCTATTATATCTATGTTTTTTCTTTCGAGGATTCTGACCCTTATAAGGATTAGGTCTTTGGCTATTGATATTTTATCTTAATTAATTAATCGCTATATTAGAACCTTAACCTCTAGAGGGTATATTAGCTCTTACCTATGGATTAAATAGAAGGGGGAGTAATTATGCGGTGCTTTCGTAGTAGTTTTATCCGCGAATAGGGTTCTCTCGAGGTTATTATACTATTTAGGTTTCTTATCTTTCTTTATTTTCCTTAGGGCTATCGAGATTAAGTAGTATCCTCTCTTGATAATATTATTAGCCTTTATATTATACGGGGTAATAATAATAAGTAGGATACCTAATTCTTTTAGTATAGGTGGGAATTCCTTCTTAAATTCTAGCCTACTATCTATAATAATAGCTAAGATTATCTTAAATTAGTATATTAGGTTAGTTGCAAAATGCTTTAGTGCTAGGGCTAAGATCTTCTTTAGGGGAATAACTTTTACCTATCTTATTATATTATACCTAGCCTTAGTAAGGTACTTAAATCCTTAGTCCGTGGGTATATATTAGTAGTCGAAGTAGACCTTAACTATTAGATTAAATAATTAGGTATATTAAATGCGCTTTATTAGCCTCTAAGGGGCATAGGCCTAGTAAGT